ACGAAAAGGTATCATATTCCTGCTAGTTTGCGTGATTTTACCTCTGTCGTCCTACGCTACTTGCATCAAAAAATGATCTCTGATCAGCGAAATTTGAGCATTCGACTTATTTTTTCTGAGTACATTTTGTGTAAATAGTTATTATATCTGAATAAATTGTAGGAAAAGTTATCATTGTATAATCTGGGTAGTATTTCATGACTCTGTTAGTGATGGAATAATACTATTTTAAGGGCATTAATGCTACACTAGCTGAAAAATTGATTGCCGAGCGAAACAAAGATTATCAAGTAGCAAAGCGTATTTCGAAGTCAATGGAACAAGTTACAAGAGGACTAAATCGACAGGCAGTCAGTGTACCTCCGCGTGGAACTGTCGCAGAAATGAAACAAGTTTGGATTTTTCTTCTCAAACGTACACGAGAAAGCAGTTTTTTTGTGTTTTTTTTGCGTCTGTATAATTCAAAAATGCGTACTGTGGGGAAATATGCTGTTTTTCTATCTGTATGTGTATTTGTGTGCTTATATGGAGTTTGTTTGTCTGCGTATTTCGATTTTCAGATCTAGAAACTTAGAAGCTGAAATTTTGGGATTACAGGCTTAAAATTAACGGGCGGATTACAAGCGTAATAAATTAACGCCCACAGCTTTTTTAGCTCTCTTGTACAGGCATGTAAAAGATGTTTTGACGGAAAGACGGCTTCAGAAATCAGACAAGCTAAAAATTTAAATTTCTCGAGCATATTTCCTGTTTATCTGTGGGCTGACGTACAAAATGGACTTTCTTGTTTCTCCTCTATCTCGTGTACGAACACATGCAATTTAATATAGCAGCTTTGTAATTCTGAAGCAAAGCAGCTAAAATGCTGAAGTTTTCTGCACATGATTCATTATCTTGCTTGAACACGTGGGGTTTGAGGCTCAACTCTGCATGCAGACTAGCTAGAGGGCTGAAATTTTGTGTGCTTTTTTTTGACATGTTTGGGTAAAATGTTCATGAAAAAGTTTCCCGCGCCACTCCTGCATTTCACTTATTCACACATAGAATTTGAAGTCAGCAGTTTTGTAATTCCGCAACCAAAACATCTGGAATGCTAAAATTTCACCGACTTGGTTCACGGCAGTCAACCTCCACTTACCAGTATATGAGATGCAAGAGAGCGATAATCCTTTGGACCCTTTGGATTATCGCCCTCTTGTATCTCATATACGAGCACGTGGGGGTTGACGCCTGTAGTTCTGTAACTTAGATGTGTAAAAAACGCATGCTCATACCGATTCTTTTGATGCACTCCGTAAAATATTGAGATTGTCGTAAGTAAATACATGGATTAGATGATGAACACCTGAGATGCAGCTAAATATTTTTGACATCCTGGCTCATGATCACGAAAAAAATATGTATATAACATTCTGGAGATTAATTCTGCGACTTGAGTTCAACCCACTTACCAAAGGTACCAAAGATAAGGTAAATGGGTTGAACTCAAGTCGTGGTATTAATCTCGGGTATATTATATACATTTTTTTTTTTGAAATTCAAAACTGTTTCTACATTTCACGTTGTTTGATCGTCTGGTACATTTCAAAGTACAGTGCTGACAAAACTGTAGCTGGATTTCTCTTCGGAGACCTGCCTGGAAGCAAGCTGTCCTGTTTATCTGTAGATGAAATGATTCATGGAAAGATTGCTTTTTCTCGACTGAAATCGAGTCATCAGCTTCTGAACAGCTTAGATCTTCCACCGCATTAAGCTTATGAAGCCCCAGAGCGTTAATGTATTCTACTCAATAAAACCTCATATATATGGACAGCCTTCCGATCTCCCTAATAATTTGCTTCGTATAACATTATTTTATTCTTTTAGTAATAGAAAAATATTTTTAAGTTGAAAGAAGGCAAAGCAAATAATATTATTTTTTTAGTAAAATATTTAAGTCAGATTTAATAGTTTTTTTTTTCAGTTGGATATGTGGCGTAAATACATACAGTGGGAGAAAAGTAACCCATTAGGAACTGAAGAATACTCACATTTCGCCAAACGAGGTAAAAAAATTCCAGTTATGTGAATGTATGTTAAAAAAAGAGGAGATTATGTCTGTGATGAACATACTGCTAGAAATTTGAAACGTTATAACTGGTTAGCGACAGAAAGTATGTGTAAAAAAGCAGAAACGTAGGCTATCAGTTTTAAATTATCGCTAGGCAGGCCTGATCGTTTCAGTCCAAGTAGTGGTGAATTGGTCAAGACAGATTTAACTTTCAGAGAGTTACAGAGTTTTGCTTGTCATTGATTTCGTTTTTGGGTTTTAATTTAAAAAATTGCAGTAATATTTGCGTACGAGCAGGCTCTTTTATGCCTTGGCTATTATCCGGATATGTGGTACGAAGCTGCGCTCTTCCGACAGCAAGCTGCCTCTGTATTAGCTGAAAAAGGAGATGTGAAATTATCAGCTTCGATGAACACCGATATCACTCGTTAGCACTTTACTGTTTGACGATTTTGAAAAGTTTTCCTTTTTGTTTTAATTATTGAAGTAATCTGCAAAAGATAGTCGAATTTTTTCTCATTTGCTTGCGATGACTTATTTTGGCTGGGCTTCCATGGCCCTTTCTTTCCTTTCTATTTCTAAAGTGCATACGTGGTCTTTTTGGGCATTTCAACTCGAAGTCTATGCAAGGAAGAAAATTTGATGAAAAAAGACATTCGTATGTATGACATTTGCAAGAACGACAGAGATAATAGGCTAGCGACGACAGAAATGAACAGGCTGTTTGTTGGTAACACCTAACGCGGAGGAGTGCAAGATGGGGATGGATCTAACTCATAACGAATGCAAAGAAGAAGAGCGAAACCGGCTATATATTGTTCAGTACTTGATGCATTATCAGGGATTTTTTTGTAGTACTTTCCTTCAGTACCAATCACCGCAAGGTTTGGTTCGGACTGTAGGAGAAAGGCGTTGTACGAAGCGTGCTAGCGTAACAGGCCGGATAAAGTCGAAGGGGAAAATAACAGGTCTGAAAAACTGACTGTGCAGTAACGTCAGAAATGTCGAGGACAGTGTCTGTTCTGAAGATTCAAGTACGCAAAAACTAGTCAGGTGCACTCAACTTCAACAGTAATATATGAGAATTTTCCCAGCTGCGGAAATGCTGCTGGAGAAGAGAAAAAGCGTAAAAAGGAATAAGGCTCGAAGCGTGGAGTTTTCTTTTCTATGCCAACATATCCCTTATGCAAAGCGAGGGAAGAGCCACAAACACTGGCAGAGGTAGTAGCGCTTCAAAAAAAGCAGAGCTTGTAAAAGTGCAGGAGGGTACCGCATACCTTAAAGTAATGGCGGCGTTTAGGAAGTGAAGGACTTCGGAACTGTAACATGCAGCATGTATAAAATGATAATTGGGCGACGTTACATATCTGTAGGTGGTATGTACGAAACTGTAAATGGTCAGTCGGCCACCCTCAGAGGACATTTGCATATATGCAGCAGACAGTTTGGTTACTGAAGATACAGTTTAGGATTGGAAGGCCAGACATAGCTCTCCTTCCCTCTCCCTTTCCCTCACTTCGAATTTTCTGAGAGTATCCCAGATTCGTATGGTTATGTTAACTTCAATGACAACTTTTCTAGAACTATTTGAACGTGCTGTGGGTGGACTTCTGAAAGAGAGTCAGCTTCTATTTTTTGCGTATGCTGATTACGAGGAGGAGCGTATGAAATATGATAACGTAAAGAAAATCTATGATCGACTTCTTGCGATTGAAACTGCCGATCCTACTCTGGTAAGGCCACAACATTTTAGAAATTCCTTCAAGAATATCCGGAGCACTTGTTAGCTGGATCTCTACCTTCGCAGCTGTCATTTTTTTCTTCAGTTATGGAAAATTAAGAAATTTTTTAGTGATTTTTAACGTGAGTTTCTAAAATTGGTTTCCAGGCCTACATACAGCTGATGAAATTCGTAAGACGAACAGAAGGCGTGCAGTATGCACGTGCGGTTTTCAAACGAGCTCGTCAGGATCCGCGCTGCAAGTTCCACATATACGTTGCATCTGCACTTATG